TGGTTCTCTCGTTCATTTATTTTAGGGGTATGTCGAGTACGAAGGGCGCGATAGCCCCCAACTCTATACTATATATGGGGTCCCATATGCTAGCCGAGCTGAGAACCCTATATGCCGCTACTGAGTGTGTTTTGATTTCCCTAATAGTCGTGACAGAAAATAAAGAGAGAAAGGAGAACTTTCCAGTTCGACGAGCGAGACGAGAACAATCGAGAAATTTTGACGATTGACACGATCGTAACTGTTTTTCTTCTAATCGACCAATACTATTACATCAATGACAATCTTCTTTTTCTTCCATACGATGATAAACCAAAATCAACACTAGGGAAAGATCGAACAAAGAAATAAAGTAAAGTAATATTATATAATCTTATTGTTCACAATCAATACGATATTTCTCGCGATAATGGAAGTTATTTTAATGTTAAAATAACCACGTCGTTTGTATTAAACTATCAAAAGATTTTTCTTAAATGAGTTATCCAACGTAATACAATCGCCTTAAAACGACGAACAAACTATTCTCTCTCATATGTCGAGTATGTCGTTCGGTTAATAAGTTTTCCTTATCGATATGTGTCATCACTTTAGTATGACCGAGCACTCGCGACTAGTCATTATCAACCTTATCTCGCACGATCATTTCGATAATTTTCATGGAGAACGTTAGCTCTCTCTTTCTCTCTCTTATACTCTCTCTTTGCTGTCGGTAGAGAGGTGCGTAGCTCGGTGTTACGCGGAAAAGCATTAGGGTATTATCTAGCTCGACGCGTATTATTCATCGCTTGATCGAGTTATATCAAATTACGGTGTCGTAAAACGAGCACCATCGACGAGACGATATCCTGAAAATCGTACGATTGCTATCGCGTTCTCGCCTATCCTCTTGCCTTTTTACATAATTAAACGACAGCCACCGAGTACTCGTTGCACGTCGAGGGAAGATACGATCGTGAAAATTACTTCGTTTCATAGAGATAACGTCGAGAATGTTAGGATAACAAAAAGAAAAAAGGAAAAAAAAGGGGAAGAAAGAAAGGGAGATAGGGGAAGGAAGAAATACGGAAAAATACAACAACAACAAAATAAAGAAGAAGAAGAAGAAGAAGAAATCGTTCAATTAACGTAACGTTTGAGTTCGTTTATACCATGTTCTGTGAGGAAAATGTACAGGAATCGGTAGTACCCTCTCATCGTACCTAGTAGGTACGTCCTTAATGCAAAATCTATATTGACGGAGAGAAGCGTTAGAAGCAAAGGGCAGGAGAGACAACGTGCCGCGAATCGTCGAGATTTGCATGCATTAACGCCACAAGCGCGACTGATTGACAATCCGTACGTCATTGTGACGTCAGTCAAGCCGGCCGAGAGCGCGTCCTCTACCAATCGCAATCAATTAAGGTAACGATTGATTGTTACGCGTTTCGACTCGACGACAGAAATATCGCGGAGATATTTATGTGCTTCACCGAACGAACCATTCAAAGGTACAATGTACCTCGACAAACCTCTACCCATAGCTTTTCTATCTATTTTTTTTTCTCTTCTCTTCCCCTCCTCTCTCTCTCTCTCTCTTCCTCCTTTAAAACGATTTTTCTCCGATCGATCGATCGATCGTTCGTTCTCGATCGGAGAACGCGTTCGTCGAGTTAAAACGAAAAACCGAAAAAGACAAAAAAAGAAAAATAGAGAGAAAGAAGGATTAACGAGCACGGAACTTCGTATAATCGAGCCACACGAAAAATGTCCTCGTCGCGTAGCGTAGATTTCGTGAACGTTTCGGTACCCCGAAATGGAATCCGTCGAATTGACGCGGAGAGAGAGAGAGTAGGACGAAGGAGGGAGAAGGAGAGGTGGATCGGACGGTTCTCTCGCGGCGCTGAGGGATCGTCGAAACAAGCGTCGAAGAGTGGAACGAGTGAGGGAATGAGGGGTGCTATACTGCGTGAGGGTGAATCGATGTGCTAGTAGTTGGTTG